CGAAGCCATCCGGGGCTTTATCGAGAGTGCTGCTGCTGAAGAAATGGATCCTGTCGTGCGAAAGATTATTATTAGAGCCCAAACTCTTTCGGCAGCAGATGTCTTTGAAGGTGAATACCTTAGACAGGAACTTACACGTCAAATTGAGCGGGAATTCGTTCAGTTCGATGGCCTCTTGGTACCCACATCCCCAACATTCCCCACGCTTGATGAGCTCGTCAAGAACCCGGTCGAGGAGAACTCGATACTGGGTACTTATACGAACTTCGTGAACTTTCTGGACTGGTCGGCGCTCTCTATCCCCGCGGGCTTTCGACCAGATGGACTTCCATTCGGTGTGACGCTCATCTCGACCCGCTGGCAAGAACCATTTCTCCTGTCATGGGCTCGAGAGTGGTTTGGTGACGAAGAAAGGTTGCTGGGTGCAACTGGTGTAAGCGCTTGCGAGTCTCCCGCTGCCACATCATCGATCCCGTCGAATTACATCCCCATTGCTGTTGTTGGTGCGCACCTCACTGGGTTTCCTCTCAACAAGGATGTAGTGGCTCGTGGAGGAAGGTTCTTGAGTGCCACGAAGACATCATCGTCGTATCGGCTGTACTCCCTCAACACAACAGTCGGTCCCAAGAAGCCAGGTCTGAAGCGAGTCTCCACTGGTGAAGGCGCAGAAATTGAAGTCGAAATTTGGAACCTGCCCAAGACCTCTCTCGCAAGCTTCATGCTCACAATTCCTCCTCCTCTTGCAATAGGTTCAATCGAACTCAAGGACGGGTCTTGGGTCAGGGGGTTCGTATGCGAGCCCTGCGGCTTCGTTGAAGCTGTCGATATCACTAGCCACGGCGGCTGGCGAGCTTATCATGCTTTTCTTGAGAAGGAGACCAAATCGTTGACAAACGGGTTTCGTAAGCGTACTCTCTCAACAATTCTTATAGCCAATCGTGGCGAGATCGCGGTTCGTATAATCGAGACGATACACACAATGGGTCTTCGAGCTGTTGCCATCTACTCTGAGATAGACTCAGATGCTGCACACGTTAGCAAAGCTGATATTGCTCTCAAGCTTGAAGGATCTTCAGTGTCCGAGACTTATCTGGATATGGATCAGATACTGAAGTTGGCAGCTCAATCTTCAGCTGACGCCATCATCCCTGGCTACGGCTTCCTCTCTGAGAACGCCGAGTTTGCTACCGCCGTTGAAGAGAAGGGAATAATATGGATTGGACCAACTCCAAAGCAAATGGCCGATCTCGGGTTGAAACATCGTGCCCGCGCTATTGCAGTCGAAGCAGGAGTTCCCACTGTCCCAGGGTGTGACACTCTTCTCACGTCGCTGGAAGAAGCTCTCGTGGAAGGCGAACGAATTGGTTTCCCCTTGATGCTGAAAAGTACTGCTGGTGGCGGCGGTATCGGTCTAAGCTACTGCAAAGACCGACAGAGTCTAGCCACAACGTTTGAGAGCGTTCAACGGCAAGCAGAAGCTAATTTCGGCAACGGAGGCGTTTTCATCGAACGGTTTATCCAACGGGCTCGCCACGTTGAAGTCCAGATTCTCGGGGACGGTACAGGTCGTGTCATTGCTGCTGGAGAACGGGACTGCTCTCTACAACGGCGCCATCAGAAGGTTGTTGAAGAAAGCCCCGCGATATTAGTCCCTGAGTCAATTCGGGCGGAAATGCGAGTGGCTGCAATTCGCTTGGCGTCATCGGTGGAATATCGCAACGTCGGCACTGTCGAGTTCATCTATGATATCGATTCGATGGAGTTCTATTTCTTGGAAGTGAATACTCGGTTGCAAGTTGAGCATCCTGTGACTGAGTCAGTAACTGGACTTGATCTTGTGGAGTGTATGATCAACATTGCCGATGGGAATGCAGCTCAACTTTTTAATATGGAGCCCCAAGTGTCTGGTGCTTCGATTGAGGTCCGTGTATACGCTGAAAGCCCCCTTCAGTCTTTCCGCCCCTGCACTGGTCGTATCACTGCTCTTGAGTTCCCTTCCTCCCTTCGAGTCGATACCTGGATCCAACTTGGGACTGAGATCACGACTTCTTTTGACCCCCTGGTGGCCAAGCTCATCGCATCTGGGTCCGATCGCGAAGAGGCTATCGAGAACTTAGCCAAAGGCCTTGCAGCCACTCGTATCGAAGGCGTGCAAACCAACCTCGAGTATCTTCGCCAGATTGTAGCGTCTCCCATGTTCAAGTCTGGCGATTATACGACGAAATCTTTGGACTCCTTCCAGTTCCGCTCCTCCTCTTTTGAAGTCCTTCGGCCCGGGGCTTTGATCACGGTTCAAGACTACCCTGGCCGTACTGGATATTGGAACATCGGTATCCCTCCTGGGGGCCCAATGGATTCTTACTCCTTTCGACTGTCGAATCGTCTCGTGGACAACCCTTCAGGCGCGGCGGGGCTAGAATGCACTCTTGGAGGCCCTTCCTTGAAGTTTCATTGTGATGCTGTCATTGCCGCCGTCGGTGGTGTTGCACAAGTCGCAGTCGACGATGTAGCGGCCCCCATGAACCAAGCCATTGGTGTCAGAGCAGGTCAGATACTGAGTATTGGTGTCGTTGAGCACGGTCACCGTGTATATCTTGCTATTCGGGGAGGAATCGAAGTCCCAGTCGTGATGGGTAGTCGAGCGACTTTCGAACTTGGGAAGCTTGGGGGCTTCAGCGGTCGTAAGCTCCAGGCGCGAGATATTGTTGCCATCGGTTCTGCAGATCCCTTGGTTAGTGAAGTTCAAGCTATACCACCAGTGCCTGTGCCAACTCACCCCAAAGCCTCATGGACCATCAGAGCTATCCCCGGTCCTCACGGAGCTCCAGACTACTTCACCCCTGAAAGCGTCAAGGCGTTGTATCTCAGCGACTGGAAGGTTCACCACAACAGTAACCGCCTCGGTGTTCGTCTCACTGGCCCCCAGCCCGAATGGTCTCGCAAAAGCGGAGGCGAAGCCGGCTTACACCCTTCCAACATCCATGATGCTCCGTACTCGATCGGTAGTGTGAGTTTCACTGGGGATGAAGCTGTCGTTCTGGGATGCGATGGTCCAAGTCTCGGTGGATTCGTGGTACTGTGTGTAGTGTGCTCTGCCGATCTGTGGAAGATGGGACAGGTTCGGCCTGGGGATACAATTCGCTTCGACCCTATTGATGTTGCGACTGCGGTTGGGTTAGAGAAGAAGCTCGATGAAGTCATTGAGACACTCTCACCTCTCGAAGCTTTGGGACGCGTCCCGTCTGATGAGGCAGCTCTGGTAAAGAAGTTGGGAAGTATTCCTGCCACCGTGGGCATCATCGAACATGACGGCCAAAGAGTTACTGTCCGTCAAGCAGGAGATCGAGCATTTCTCTTGGAGTTCGGTGATGCCTCCGCTTTCAATCTCCGTCACAACTTTGAGATATCAGCGTTCTGTGAGAATCACGAGAAGTGCTCCATCCCTGGCGTTGAAGAACTCACTCCAGGTGTCTTCAGCCTCCACGTCACCTACACTCGCGGTCTGTCTCCAGAGCTGATGCTGTCACGCTTGGCAGGTCACATCCGGTCGTACAAAGTCCCCTCCCAAGTCCCCTCAAGGAGCGTCCGTCTCCCCATCGCATTCGACGATAGTGTCAGCCGCGCCGCCATCGAACGATATACAGCAACAATCCGTCCAAACGCACCCTGGCTCCCCAGCAACATCGACTTCCTCCAAAAGCTCAACGGCATCGCTGATCTGACCAAAGTTTTGAGCGCTGCGGAATTCGTAGTCCTTGGTCTTGGTGATGTGTTCATGGGCTCCCCGTGTGCAATCCCCTTGGATCCGCGTCACCGTCTGTTCGGAACAAAATACAATCCTTCGCGCTCTTTCACGCCTCGTGGAGCTGTTGGTATCGGGGGTCAGTATATGTGTATCTATGCGACGGATTCGCCTGGAGGGTATCAGCTTGTCGGAAGAACAGTTGAGATATGGGATTCTGGCCTTGTTGACACTGAGGCTTGGTTCTTTCGGCGCTTTGACAGGATTGTTTTTTATCCCGTCAGTGAAGAGGCGCTGGATGGAACGTCAAGGTCTGAGCTTGTTCAGATCAGTGACGGTGTTCTTGATCTTGAACAGTACGAGACGTGGCTTACCATGAACAAAGAGGACATTGCTGCTGCTGCGGACCAACAAGCAAGGGCCATTTCCAACGCGCCCTTTGTCAATGAATTGCTTCTTCCGTATCAAGTCGAATCTGTTGTCCATGGACACAGCCCGAGTCTGGATAGTTCGGGTCTTCATGGTGAACGAGTCAAGGCGACGATGCCAGGTCGTTGTTACAAGGTCATGGTGAAAGAAGGGAGTGTTGTAGACAAGGGCGATGTTCTGGTCTGTATTGAGTCGAGTAAGATGGAAGTTGAGATTCGCAGTCCTGTCGGTGGAAAATGCTTGGTTGTTTTGGTGCAGGCTGGGGATTTGATTGACGTGGAGGATGATCTGGTAGTCATTGAGTGAGAGAAAACCGTGTTTCAGTAGAGTTACAATGATATGTGGCGACGAACAGAGATTTCACAGTCACAGATTCACGATGATGAGCGGCAAGTATTCACTGAGTGCACGAGTTATGAGTATCAAGATAGAAGTCAAGATGGGTTTCAAGTGTTTGATTGAGTTTTGTATTGCATCCAAGTATCCTTTCCAAGTCATCCTTGTCTGAGTCCAAGTCAAGCCAAGCCAATCCTCCCAGGCGTTCCCATGAGTGCGTGCGGTGAAGAGTGAGTGAGTGTGAGTGCGTGGGTGTGTGTGGGAGAGAGAGAGAGAGACAAGTGTGCTCAGCCATCAAGGTCCCGGTTGCGTTGGAGTCGCAGCTCGAACGAGTGTGCAAGTTCGACACTGTATGCATTGACTTGAACCCCGTTCAAACCAAGACATACAGTGCAGATCTCGCACAATCGGACGAGCTGTGACTCCAACGCAACCAGGGCCCGAGGCGAGTCCACGAGAGCCACGACCATACCGGCCGGCACCTCGACGCGGATCAAACCTTCCGAAGCCGTTTGGGTTCGTGAGTGCCAGGGTGTTCGACGCGCCTGGGGGACCAAACTGCTGCCCAGTGAAGAACTGCTGGAAGCTTTGGGCTGTAAAGAGATCGGATGTTCTACAAAGGGTCAGAGTCGAGCTGTCAGCGTCGTGTCAAAATAACATACCTTGCACACTCGTTCGAGACTGTTCGAAGTCCCTGGCAGACCGAAGTGCTGCCCAGTAAAGGGCTGTTGCTGAAGGCTAGTGGGAAATGGTATGCTGGCAGCGCCAGCTGCGGCAAATGGGTTTCCTTGTGGAGCGTTGAGAGCGAAGAAGCTCTGGTGACGACCTCGGTCGACACCGCGGGGATCTTGCTGGAGTGCCATGTTTCCGAAGGCACCAGCGATTTGGTTGTCGGTGCTAGATTCAGGCACACTGCCTACAAAGGCATTGCATATTCTACAAAGAGTTAGAGTCGGGCTGCTAGTGTCTTGTCAGAGTAACATACCTTGCACACTCGTTCGAGACTGACAAGCCGTGCTCGTCGTTGGCCTTCGCATCTTTCGCGAAACGGCGGCGGACCTTGATCTTGGCCTTCTTTAGTCAGCCCATGAAGGCCATGGTGACGGCAGCCGAGGGCAAGTGTGAGTTACCGCAAGGCGCGATGAAGGGAAGGGAGCAGATGAGGAGATGAAAGGGCATGACCAGAGGAAAAGTGAAACTTACCATGAAACGAGCCACGAATGGCTCGGGAGACTCCCCCGCTGGGCAGGGGGTCAGTCCGCCGCCACCACAAAGACAACACAATATGCCCAAGGCAACACTCTGCGCAGGACTTGTTAGATTGGCTCTTGAACCTGAGTCCAATAACCAACCCCACAAAGCCGCGGGCAAAGTGCCGCATTGGGCATATTGAGTGTCGACGAACGTAGGCTTGGGGATCGAGGGTGCCTTCTTGTGTCCGGTTGATGAGGACTGATGGTGGATATCGAAAAGAGAGAGTGGAGGGGAGTGAGGAGGGATAATGATGTTGGTGGTTGGCTGAAGAGGAAAGGAAGAAGAAGAGGGAGATGAAGAGGAGGGAGGATGGATTAAATACCAACAAGAGTGGATCCGGCTGATCTCGTGTGTGCGCAGAGCTCGAGTTGCCTGGGACAATAGCAGAGGGCCAGAGCCCCGAGCCCTGCCTGAGCTCAAGAGCGGACCTTGATTCACAGGCAAGTGGGCTCTCCAGAGGTGCAGAGATCTTGAGAACCTCTCGAGCCAATCACATAATTTACACTGCCTTCCATTTAATTCCCCTCGTCTGTGGAGCCGCGCAGAGTGAATCTGCCTCGACGAGCTCACCCAATGAAAGGGGGCAAGCTTGTAATCTGGAACGGTTCCAAGCTAAACTTGGGCAACTTGATCCAAAGACCTTCGGAGCTGCACTAATATTTGCCAAGACTTGTTGTGCTTTGGGCCAAAAACGTCCCGGGCTTACGTGGATTGCTCACCTCGCCACACTTGGTTCTCCTGAAGAGGCCAAGCCACTCTGCGAGTGCTCAACCACCTCGAGTCCATTGGTCCTGTAATTATTGTGCGATATTCATCGGTGCATTTGAACGCTTCGATGAGTGTTCTATGCATTCATTACGATTGTACTTGATGTAATTCCATATCGTAGCTTCGTAGTCAATACAATCCTCAATGCATGCACATTGCAATTACTCATTCATTTTTGCATCACTGCTGTTGACATGGATTACCTCGCATATCAATACCAGTGTTCATATCATCAAGTCACCCACTCTGTTGTTGCGGTGCAACTACCGCCCAATGACGCATCGCTGTTCCCCAAAACCCCCGGTGGACGCGGATGAGGCTCAAAACGCACCCTCCAAAATACTCAGGGCAACCACAACAACAATTAAAAATACCATCAAAAATATCTCTCGGAAGCTAAAAAATGCCCCATCGTCGCAAAAATGGTGCACCATTTTTCCTATTGTGCGTGGTCGCAAGATCACAGCCGAGTGTCCGGCCTCGTCGTTGATATAACGTCCAACCGCCCCGCGCCACTACACAACGGTCCCCTGCTTCCCGGTTTTGGCGGAGCATTTCGCTGCACGTCACCAGCTGTCAGATCGCACGTCTCCACTCTCCCGTCTGATCTGCTGCTGGGATACTGCCGCCTCCCAGATCACTCGGCCCCTCATCGCCCGGGATCCTGGGTATATAAACACGCCTTCCTACCAGGCCAGACCTCTTTTCTTTTCTCTTCTCTCATGCCAAACATCCAGTGGCTCTCGGGGATCAAGAAGCCCGGGGGCTGGACTCATCCTGTCTCATGGCAGCTGGTGAGGACGCCGTTCGAAGCGGCCTGGACTAATTTTTTGATTCCGCCCTATGGGCAACCACCTTTTTTTCATTGGGTTCACGGCTTTATGCGGTGGCTTGAAGAAGAAAACTTTCTTTGAATGTGACTGTTGTATGCTGTGATGTTGTGATGTTGTTTGACTTTGTAGTTTGACTCGGTGGCATGTTCTGATATACGCGTAGAGGGGAACATTGCGTGCGTAGTATGAGTGTACGATACGACGGAGGTGAGCATAGCGTTCGTGAGATGTGTGTGAGGTATCGCGAGATGTTGTTTTGGTGGTTGGACTCGACGTCTTGCGCAGTTGCTCGAGTGACGGCGACACGCCTCCAGATATCATGTCACTCGTGAATATCTTGACATCGATTACAGATTGCTTCGCCACATTATCCAAGCATTTGCATCGCTGTTCCTCGTGAATGCTTTCGTGGTTTCCCTGGTGACTTGGCTGCATCTTGACTCGCCAGTGAGCATCGTAGTAAAACAACACGCAGGGAGGATTCAGGACGGAATGAGACGTATTTCTTAGATTAAGGATGATATTACGGATACGACACGCTCTTCAATGACTTCACCGCCTCTGTTCATCTTGTGTTTTGCGCTTGGTGGCTCGCTCGCATCGTGGTCCGCCTGTGGCATCGTAGCAAAACCACCGCAGAGATAGCGCAGGACCAGATACAAGATATTTACTACGTAGACAATGATCTTATCGATTTTGCACGCTACATGAGGACTAAGGCATCTTGTTTCATCTTCTGTTGTGCTTGGGAATCGTGTTGAGGCAATCACTCGGATGCGAGATCGTTGCAGCTCGACAGTCACATCGGTGCCAAACCACCATACAGCGGATACAAGCTTGGATACGAAGGATACATCATATTGAGGACTATCTCAGGGATATTGCATGCTATTTGAGACTGAAATCGTCTTGCTTCATCCAGTGTTGGGCCTGGGAATCGTATCGAAGGATGCACTCGAGTGCAGGATCGTCGTAGCTCGTCCGTGATATCGAAAAACACAATATATTCGCAGTCAAATCGTCTCGCCATGTTGTAAATGCCCTCTTTACACATTCTTCGCACTTCGAGGCCATCTATGCCGGAGGTTCTGTACCGCCATCTCTCGCACTGGCCCGTCAGAGGGCGCCCGCCTTCGCGCTCCTGCTCCTCCCACTACCTTAAGGCAACACTCCCACTTCTTCCCCTCCTGCTCTTTTCTACCTCCCACACAACCACCGCACAGCAATTTCGCCTTGTTCATTTTCGTGTTCCGCCCGCGTTCTTTCTACTGCTGCAAGCATTTGAACATTTGTTCTGGTATGTCCTTTTCATGTTCTTCTTCTTCTTCCCCTGAACATACTGAACAGTAAGAAACTGACCTCGCCGTTGCTGCTCAGCTCTTCCACGCTTTCCCCTCTTCATTTCTGCACTTCAAGCACTGCTTCTTCGTCTACCGCAAGACGCTCTTCAAGTTTTCGTTGATTCCAAGATCTGTTCATCATGGCCGTTGTCATTGACATTCCCCTTCCCGGCGGCGCTGGTATCCGCCTTAGCATGCCGGACTGGCTGGTCGTCCTCATCTTCATCATGGTCTTCCGTGTCTGGGGATGGCCCATGGTCGTCCGTCACTGGCCCCTTGCGTTCACTTGGCCGTGGCACGAGGACGATTTTGCCTTCTAAGCACCATATTCACCAATACCCAAGTCGGTATCTCGAGTACGATCTCTACGAGCCATTTTTGAAATGTTTACGGTAAGTCACCTCGGAGCTTAGAGTGTGTCGTCTCAGGTCTTCGTCATTTACTGACCCTCTCCAGAATCTGAATCACAGGACATTGTCACCTGTAACCAAAAAAAAAGGATGTTATATCATGATCATCATCGGCGGCGGATTTATGGAACCGGACTGGTGAATTATTAGGCTCTAGTAATGAATCGAATCTCGTTCTAAATCTTTTGATGTGTTCGTGATCGTGTTCTGCCCAAGTCTATCCATCTGCCACTCGACAATATTTCCATCTTCCCGCTATTCCAAGTCTTCTAGTTGACAACCGCTGATTTTTATCTTGCTCTAGATTCTACCAGTTCCTCCAAAAGCTCCGAAGCTCGTTCCGCGCCGCCAAGTTCATTGAGTTCATCTCCCAGATGCCCCGCCCTCTCCACGAACCCTGGATCGTCCAGTATCGTCCTCGCTGCCATTCGAACCTGTTCTGTTGAAGGGTTGTCCGTCTTCAGATCGATGCCCGCTCTTGCCCAACTGACCCGAGCTGCTGTGTCCTTCTTATCTTCTGTTTGCCCAGCGCAGATCAGTGGCACTTTATGCGACAGCGCCTGCGTTATGCTTCCGTAACCGCCATTGGTGATGAGGAGGCAGAGCTGAGGGAGGAAGAGATGGTACGGTATCCATCTGATGAAGCGCACGTTCGGCGGCTCCCCTATCCTTGATGTGATCTCTTCTACATGTGGCGAAGCTACTACGAGAAGCAGATCTGGATCATCAGAGAGCGCCTCGATCGCAGGTATGATCAAGGATGTTGGGTCCATGGCTAGGGTGCCTTGAGTAATGCCAACAACACGAGGGTGCGCAACTATTTCATCCCACTCAGGGGGTAGCTGGGCGAGACTGGTCGGTACTTGGGTAACTACTGGTCCGACGAACTTGGTATGCTCCCGCTGTTGCGACGGCTTCGGCAGCAAGTTGAACTCCAGCGTCGGAGACGAAGCCTGAATGTGAAGATAGGGGCTGTAAGTGAAAGATTCGATCGGCTCCCCGAACTGTAGGTTCTTCAAGCCCAATTCCCCCCTCTGGGCATTTATGATCGGCCTCAAAAGCAACGGTAGAAGAATCCACTGGCTAATAAGATGAAGAACATGATTCCAGATCAGTTCAATCCACGACGTCGCCGGACCCTCCCCCGAAACAGCCTGCGGTGCTCCCCAACTCGACATGTACATTGGAATCACCCCCAGCGTCGCATAAGCCGGAATTTCGCCAAGTTCACACAAAGCCCTCGCTCCATATGGCATCACATCGACGAGCAGGACATCTGCTTTAAAGTCCCTCAACACCCGGCGGTAATCCGTCACCTGCGCCAGAAGCCTGATCTGAAGCCGCGAGTACTCCTTGTCGAGAATACCAGTTTCATTGGCGGCGATAAGGGGCTCGTCAATGATGGCTATGGCACTTGTTGGGACGAAAGCTGCCCCTACGGCGAGGACGCGGGCTTCGTTGGAGGCGCTGGTGAGCCATGTTACTTGGTGACCACGACGGATGAGGGACTGGGCTACGGCTTGCATTGGGTAGGCATGGCCGGCTGGGAAGTGAGAGTGGAGGAGGATCTTCATGGCGGGTTTGTGAGGGCGATGATGTGGTGAGTGTGAGGTGAGGTGAGGTGTTCTTTATGTGAGGTTGCATGGATGATCTAAGTGGGCTGCATATAAAATCTGCACACTACTGTATACGAGCAGATCGGGGGCTTGGCAGCGATGGAGGAAGATGAGGGCAATGGTAGAGGTTGAATATTCCACTTATACTGCCTTCAGCCATGTTGTCC